AAAAAGAAATTACCGGTAGACACAATTTCCCTGCATATGAGTCAAGCTTACCTGACACAAAGTGTACATAGACAATTTACATGAGCAGTGATTATGTCAATGTCAGCAATAGCTCCATATTTAGAAATCCATCATTAGGCTAGACAAAAATAAATCTTGTTTATCAGATTTTTCTTGTGAAAAAGGCAGCGAAAAATATTTTTTTTATTTAGTTGTAAGTGAATTCTATTGGTTTTTTTGCCAAAATGTTCCAACATTTATTTATCTTGAATGTCTTTTTAAATTATGTACATAATGCAGAAAATTCAAATTCAATAATATAAATCTTTTTCATTTCACAAGAGACAAATTTTCGTGAATTTGAAAAGTCATTGAAAATCACAAAATTTTGTAGCAGTGACAATATTTCTGGGGTCCTACTACATGGACTTTTGCAAAATTTTGTTTTTATAAAATGCCATCAAATCAGGAAACAATCCCTAGCTGCAAAATTTAGGTGGTTTACAGTATTACAAATACCGTAATACAGCAGACACACGATCTTTGGCAATGGCTATGAATGCTGTTGGCATAAACATTGACAACTCTCTGCCTGATGTCTAGCAGGTACAAATAAAAAAAAATTGAAAAATATGACTTGGCAGGCGCCTGGACCTTAGGAATATGCACGAGATATTGTATAACAAAGATACATGTGATTAGTTTGTTGGAATCATAAATTGTACCCTACTGATTCACAATTACAAAATATGTGGCTGTTATCAGAATATATCTAATTATTGAACACAAATACATGATTTGTTGATATGTAAATGTTATTTTTTATAGATGTGTCCTTTTAGTGCATCACAGAGTGGATCTTTGTGTGGTGAGCAACATCTTTTAAGACCTATTATTACCCTGAGAATTTATTTAGTGAGAAGAGAAAATTTGAAAGCTGTCATAATGAGAGTTCCCATGTGGTGTAATCAGACTACCATCAATCAGTAAACATTCCATTATGGTTGACTTTTATGGTTTTTAAACTTTCTTTGCCAACCCCCCTGTGTTATTTCATGTTCAAGTGCTAGTAACTTTATTTTTTTCTCATTCTTGACTTGACTATATCATCATTGTTGATACTATATTGTTTCAATATTTTTTATTTAAATATGTAGTACAATAATAATGTGATTTTCTTTTTAGCCTGAAAGTGAAGAAGTCTGGTACCTTGTTTCCAAAACTATATTTTTAATTCCTTTATTAATCGTGTTTACTGGAAATCTTGTAAGAACACAAGCTAAATTATTATTTTTTCATTTCACTTTTAATGAAGGTTGTAGTGTCTCTGTCATATTTTATCATGACAGCTATAGTAACTAGATTTGATTTTTAGACTTTGAGTTCTTATTGATCAGTGACTTGCATAGTTTATAAGATCTGACTAGAAATGTGACCTAACACTTTCCACTAATGTTATTAGATGTGAATAATAATTGCAATATATTAGATTACGAATTGAAATGAATCTTGTGTTTGATAAGTGACAATTTAGGGCCACTGTAACAATTTGTCACACTAGAATTCAACACATCACACCCCACACATATCCTCCATGACTTTGCAGCTGTAGACTGGTTTCAGTATAATTCAAGTTGTGCTTTGTCACCAAATTGACCATTTTCCGTTCACTGTGAGAATCACGCATTATGCGTGAAATCGAACGTAAAAACAGGACAAATAAAGGTCATAGCGTCGTCACACATCACTTGGGATTCGACAAACGCGAAAGTATTTTGGGGGGCATTTCTATGCTTAATAATGTGCTGTACACATTTGATGATAGACAATTTCGATTAAGTGAGGGTATTCAACAGACATTCGATGTGCGTCTTTCATGCATCTCGCGAGATCTCTCAGTTCAACGGAAAATCACCTATTCTGATATGGAATATTTCCTGTGTTAAAAGTACCTTACATGTAAATGACTTAATAAAATTGTTAGCATAAATTAATTGGTTCACTTTCACCAAACCCCATGCATTTCTATAGGCGATGTGCTTCCATGATAGTGTTTGTATCTGTATAAACTTACCATAATTATATTGCACACAATTCATTGTTGCTGCAGATTGTGCTTTTGTGCTCTCATGTTGGTAACACAACAAAGTACAACTCCAACTTTCTCACCTTTTGCAGATCATATATTTTTTAACTCATCGAGCTTTGAGACGTAACCAACTTACCAGTGGTGTGATTGGTCCAAGACAATACATTGATGCAGCTAGAGTCAGAAACAGAGCTATTCTTTACTGCTCTATCTTTTGTATTTGTTGGCTGCCATGTGAGTATAAATAGTATGAGGAGATTTTGTTTTTTTATTTAAAGCAACTGGTTATAAAATTGAACAAAACAATCCCATTCAAATTTGCTTCAAGGTCTCCATATAAGATCATAATTTTCACACTCCTATGTATTTTCCCATGAATGGTTTTTCAGAACCATTAAAAATTGTTGAAATTGAAAGGATATGGGGAAAAATTTTATTTTGTAACGATTGACTTAGGTTTATAGAAGTGCAGGCAAGAATCCTGTGTTGTATGTCAACAACTGCACTTACAAAAAACCATTCAGAATTGAATTGGGTTGAGTCACTCACTTTAACCATTCAGTATATTATTTTCAGCTTTGTCTACATGATTCTCCATATTGTGCCGCATACTAGTAAAAGACAATTGCACATATTTTATGTGATGCCCTGTACATTTTTTGCAGCAATGCTTTTGGGTGTGATATCATTCCATGGAGATTTCAAGATGCAAAGTTTTTTTTGGTTATACATGTTACAGGTGAGTCATCATAATGTATTACACATGTCATATTTGAACAGATACCCAGTGGCATATATACTGGGTAACCATAATTTGTTTTTGACTTTGCAGTTACCCTGTGTATGTGTGCGTGCATCTGTCCATTCCACTTATATCTCAAGAACTGTATGTTGGTTTTCAATGAAACTTGGTATATAGATGCTCTGGGCTAATTCGCAGATTAGATTAGTTTTGGTTGAAATCCTAGCATATTAATTACCTAATTTGCATGATAATTACCTAATTTTTAGCTGTTCCTTGACTGTTCCACTGATATCTAAAGAGCCATTCATTAGATTTTGATGAAACTTGGAACATAGATGCTTTTGACTAATGCACAGATGTGATTAATTTTGGGTGAAAATCCATGCATATAATTAATCTAATTTGCATAATGATTAGTCAATTTTCCACTGATATCTCAGGTACTAATCATATTTCAATGAAAGTTACATAGATACATAGGACACAGATATATAATTACCTAATTTGCATAATTAATCAATTTTCAGCTTTTGATACTTCAAGTACTATTACTTTTCAATGAAACTTGGTTCATAGATGCTCTAGAACAATCCAAAAATTTTAAGTAAAAATGTTTGCATAATTAGTTAATTCATTTCAATGAATCTTGGTACATTGATGCTCCAGAACAATGCACAGACCCACTCAGTTTTGAATGAAAATCAGATAATTTTAATTACCTAATTTGCATAATAAATCATAATTTTTCGTTCTAATCACATTTCAATGAAACCTCATACATAGATGATCTGTGACAGTACTTATCTTAATTCAATGAAATTTGGTACATATGTACTCTAACACAATGTGGTTATCTAATTAGTTTTAGGTTTATATACATCTATAATAATTACCTAATTTGCATAATAATTTACTTTTCAGCTTTCCACTAATTTAGTTAGGATTAATCATCACATTATAATGAAACTTTGTACATGTGCACCGTGAAATAAATACAGATTTAAATCTATGTATAATAATTGCTTAATTTGTATAATAATTCATTTGGTTCATTGAGGTAATCCACAAACATGATTAGTTTATTGTTGATAAACATGCATAATGATTATCTATTACTGTAAAATCTGTATTAGAAGCCACGGCTTCTATTAGAATAATACAATGCAACAGGTGGGATGCGGCTTTTATTAGAGCATCTACACATATGGAAAATGATGAATTTTTGGTTCTCAATTATTCAAAAAGAATGGGTGCGACTTCTATTAGGGATGCGGCTTATAATACAGATTTTACGGTATTAGCCAATTTGATATCTAAAAAAATCAGATTTAAATTGAATTCATCGCAGAGGTGCTCTGAAATAACTTAGACTAAAACCATG